AATTGGCTTCCTGTTTAAAAGAAATGCTAGAGGTCCCCCATCCTCAGTGCTTACATAGGCCGTTTTCGCTCTAATTGTCATAATCTTCCCTTCAGGAATCAACATGGCTTCCAGCTTTGCCTCTTTTGGGTCTTTCCTAAAGAACAGTTTCATAGCCATTACCTTCTTTATGATGCCTCCTGTAACCACCTCATTTAGATTTGTAGTGTTCCTTGCTGCAGCTGCCTATCTCCCTTTTGCCATCTAAAACTTTATTTCTTATTTTGATTATGGGTTGCCTTCCCTATGTGAGGGCATTATGACGGCAGAGACTTTTTATCCATGTTCTGCATCCTTAGGTTCTAGAAATGGAATGCCTCGTTGTAGGTTCTCAATAAATATTTGAGTAAAGAAATGAACCCCAGACTCCCATTCTGTGGTTGAAATATAGTGTATAACACCTATCAAACAATTTCTGTGTGCAAAAACAGTTGCCAATAGTTTAAGTGTCAGACCCATTTCTGAAAAATGGTGCAATATCATATAACCACTATAGATGAGAATAAAATAGTTCAATCTCAAAAAATAACTTTATTATAAAATATGCTAATAAAAGATGAATACAGATATGAAAATGGTACATGGATGGAAATATTCAGGAGGGATTCCATGAAACCACATTTTACAATCAAGCTTCCTATTAAAGATTCTTACTGCAGATTTTACTGTTCACCATCAAGTTGAGCAATTTGAGGAGATTGGCACTCAAAATTCCCAAAAGGGAAACAAGCAGGGTTTGACTGACCTGGGTTCAAATGAAGTCTTTAGGAAATATCAGTTTTATAAAAGAAGGTAAAGCACTTTTATATATATTTGAACTTGATTCCTTCAAAGTAAAATAAAAGTTTTCTTTCACTTTAATCCTCTCAGTCAACAAATTAGCCATCTAATTTTATGTATATAAAGCTTTGATTTGTTGGTTGAACAGCAGGTTATTCCTACATAAATGTAGATTTTAACTATCACAGGACACTTTTGACTTTTGAAGGATAGTATTTAAAGAGAAAAATAAAACTACATTCTATATCTATTCCTCTGTGGATGAAGTGTTTGGCTTGGTCTCTAAGGAGCTGAGTGTACATGATTCCATATCTCTCACTTAATTTGATCATTTAAGTAATTATGAGTATTTAAACGTAATCAGTGAATATTGAATTAAATTTAAGAAACATCACCTCCATATTAAATTTGTGACATTTTAAAAGGAATGGTTGGTGAATATCAAAAGAACTGAGGTTTTAAACCAATTTGAATTTTATAACCTAAATAATCATCAGAAAAATAAGTTCCTGCACATTTTGAGATTTCTTGAAAGTTAATGCCATAAAGAACACAGTTTCAATTAAATGTTACATCTGCTCTGTCAATTTGAGTGCGGATGTTAGTTGGAGCATTCCTACACTGGGTGGAAGATTGTACTAGTTCAGGCAGAGAGAGGCCACTTATAAGGTCCCCTCCAAAACTAAGATTGTTTAAATCCTATTATTTTATGTCAAGATAATCTAATTATACTAATCCCATCTCCTCCTGTTTTTCTGCTTAACTATGTACTATCTTAAATCAGTTTATTGACAAGGGAGAGTGAGACTAATAACTGTCAAGATGACAAATTGAACTTTCAAACTATGGGCCTATAATAGTTTTATGTGAATATGAGATGGTAATAGCAAGTAATATTCCTATAGCACTTTGCATTTTACATAGTACTTGCAGGTCCATTATTTCATTTGCTATTTCTTCAACTCTGTGATTCAGTTATGATTATCAAAATTCATTCACTGATAAAGTAATGGAATTTAGAGATTCCTCAAGACACATAGCTAGTAAGTCTCAGAATAAGAAATCATACCTAGGTCTTTATTTTCTGTTTTCTACACTACAGTATATCTATTTCATTTGCCCTCAATCTCCATTTCCCCCAAGAAAAGCAGCACTGTGTGGGAGAAATGCTGTTGTTATCCCTTTTTTACAAATAAAGTCACAAAGATAGTAGGAGATAGGAGTGGGAATAAAATCTGGGCATACTGCCTAAAAACCCCGTGTCCTTTCATCTATAATGTATCGATATATACCACTACAGTGTGTAGATTTATTGCTGCTGTGGTGTAAGGAAAACCAAAATATCCACAGGCAGCAATTGGGATAGTGGGTGATGAGAAGAGGGAAAGAAACCAAGGAGAGTATGGAATCCAGTCTGCCCCTCCCTCAGCAGGCCACTGACTGCCCCTGCTTTGCCCCAGCCCTCAGCCTCTAGTCCCAATGGACACTGAGAGGAGATGTTGACAGAGGAGAATAAATCAGTTTGCTAAGGGAATTAACATGATGTGTGGAGAAATTCCACTTCTTTCTGCTTTGACACCTCCTTTCTTAAAAGTTTCCCAATTAACCAAAACCAGTTTGGCTCAATGGATAGAGCATCGGCTTGGGGACTGAAAGGTCCCGGGTTTGATTCCGGTCAAGGGCATGTACCTTGGTTGCAGGCATATCCCCAGTAGGGGGTGTGCAAGAGGCAGCTGATCGATGACTCTCTCTCATCGATGTTTCTAACTCTCTATCTCTCTCCCTTCCTCTCTGTACAAAATCAATAAAATATATATTTTTTTTAAAAAAGTTTCCCAATTAGCCTGTGAGCTACCCAGAGGTCACAAAACTGTATACATTGCCTTTCTATTTCACACATATAAAAATAACTGGCAGTCAGTGAGAATAAAATTCCTCACCGTAAAATATAAAACCCTTTACATTTATTAACTCATTCAATCTTTGTCAAAATAGGCACATAGGCATCACATATAAAATAAGCACTATTATACTTCTCCTCATTTATTAAAAATTAGAGGTCCAGTGCACAAAATTTGTGCCCTGTGTGTGTGTGGTGGGGGGGGGGGGGGTACAGGGGGGAAGGTCCCCTCAGCCCAGCCTGTGCTCTCTCGAAGTCTGGGACCCCTATGGGGATGTCTGCCTACCATCTTAGGCCCAAGTGACATCACAGTCAGACATCCCTTTTGCAGTCCGGGGCTCTCTCAGTCCAGGACCCCTTGCTCCTTACTGCCAGCCTGCAGCGGAGGTGGGAGAGGCTCCCACCACCACCGCTGCGCTCATCAGCTGTGAACCTAGCTTCTGGCTGGGTGGCACTTCCCCTATGGGAGCACACTGCCCACCAGGGGGCAGCTCTTGCATTGAGCATCTGCCCCCTGGTGGTCAGTGCAAGTATAGTTACCGGTTGTTCTGACATTTGGTCAATTTTTATATTAGCCTTTTATTATATAAGATGAAGAAATGAGGCACATAAAGGTTAGATGACATCCTTAAGGTAATGATGAGTTAATATCTAGCAGAAAAAGAAGTAAGGAAAGGAGAGAGGGAGGAGAGGAGGGAGCTAGGAAAGAGACAGGAGTGGGGGTGGGGGGGTTGGGGGGGTAAGGAAAGACAGGGAGGATGAAAGGAAGATAGGAAAGAAAAAAACAAAGAAGAAAGAAACAAGGGGGCCAAATATATGGTGAAAGAAGATGATTTGACTTTGGGTGGTAGGCACACAGTGCAATTTTACCTAATAATAGACAAACATGTAAATTGACTGGACTTCCGCTATGCCACCAGCCAATGAGTAGTGATATGCAAATTAACCCAACAAATATGGCAGTTAATTTGCATGCACAGGTGCCGAATGATGGAGGTAGGATGCTGCATTATCACCCCATTCTCTCAGGGCCTCTGGGCAGTGTGGGAAGGTGAGGCCAGAGTGGAAAGAGGCGACTCTGGGGGCCTGAGTGGAAAGGGGTTGGGCTGGAGTAGAAAGGCGGTGCTGGCAGCCAGGGAAAGGAAAGCCCATTCTAGCACAAATCTTCATGCATCGGGCTCCTCGTATACGGATAATGCGTCATAGAAATGTATGCTTGAAACCTATATGATCCTATTAACCAAACTCACCCCAATAAATTAACTTAAAATCTAAATAAATTAAAGGTCCAATAAAAAAAAAAGGAAAGAAACAAACAAAGGTAAGGAGAGAGGAAAGAGGAGAGAAAGTAAGGAAGGTATGAATGGATAAAGGAGGGAGGGAAAAAGAGAGGAAGGAAGGAGTGAGGAAGGCAAAGCTAATGACCACTGGGACAAGAGCCTCAGAGGAATCCTCTGGCTGTCCATGTGGCTAGCGCCTAACAGATCACTAATGATAGGTACGGGAGAATTAAAGAGATGACTGGTTTTCTTTACCTCTTGACTGTATGGTGCTAGTGCATGCTATTAGGGTTTTCAAAAACCCCGTGCCCCTTGCTTCACCAAGCCATACTAAAAAAGAATCAAGTGTCTTGCCTGCACACAGATTTCCTATTTGCAATGTAGCTTCCTTTACTTGAGTATGGATATGATGCTGTGTTGAAGTCAAGTCCGTGCATATGTTAATCGGAAGCTTCAGGTCGTCCAGCTGATGCTTGAGCCCTGTTGTCTTTTCTTCAGGTTAACATGTGGGTGACGTCTCTCCTCGGTAGCCTTCAGAACGCCACCAGGTCTGGGCTCTTTTCTGCAGGCATCCCAGCAGGAGTACTGGTCTGCATTTTAGAGCACAGTCAACATCAGGCTCTTTGTGAAGCTGTGTGATTGCTGGACAAGTTTCTCAACGTCACTGTGAATTCACTTTTCCCCCTTACATCTCCTGTATAATAGAGTTTTTATGCAGACAAACTAAAAATGCAAAGGAAAGCACTTTGTAAACTGAAAAACACTTTACAAATTCAAGGTATCATCTCCTAGCTCATAAAAATACTTACCTTGTATCTAAAGAGTTTACATTTCTTTCTTTTTTTTCTTTTTTTACTGTTCTTATTTTTATCTCAGTTATTTCTTTAAAAGCATATATGCATGAGAGTGTCCTATAAGTATTTGAAAGCAAGTAGTTTTCTTCCTGGCTATTTCGAATACATATTTCTGATAGACCCTTCTTATTTTTCCTTTACTTATAGAAATGTTCAAAAATGAAAAACATTAAAAATAACAAGATGTGACTGAAGCCACTTGGGTAGTGAACATAAATGTTACGATGGAAAAGTGAGCCTGGCCTTCTAGCTGAAAAACAACGATTTCCCGACGGCCCCACAGGAACCGCGATTGCCCGGTGCAAAGAAGAAAACAGCTTTGAAAGCTACAGACAAAACAAAGAAGAAATCTCTGTATAGATGTTGCATAGTCTACCCTGTTGTGCCAGAACCTTTCAGTATTGTTTCATTGTCACAAGGACATGTTGATTTAATGTGCACATTCTGTGTGGTTCTTATTTTCACTAACAACGATTAAGCAATTGGAAAATGATTTTATATTTCAGTTTCAGGGTAAAACAAGTACAAAATAGAAGGACAAGTCACCAGATATTTACTTTTCTTTTCACAAGTGGTTTTGCATTTATTTATTTATTTTTTTTTTGGTGTTCTCATCATTCGGTTAAAAATAACTTTAAGATATTATGGAGTGATTTAAAATACCCAGGTTTTGAATCTTACTCACTTGAGGCTGCAAAAATGAATTTTACTTCCCATTTTTAGTTTGTGGTGGAAGTTCCCTGTAAATAAGTGTGTGGAGGTTTAATAGTCCACGCTGCCGCGAGGCTCAGGGGTTTTGCTATAACTCTCTCCCCTGTTTCCTAACAACCAGAATTCATGACCACAATTTCACCAAAGTCCTGCTTTATTTTAATGTACTGTATGTTAGATAATCCTTTAGATGGATGTTTATTAGGATCCTGGGAAAACTGTTGTATTTATGTATTATGTGTTAAGTATACAGGGACAATAATATTTTGCATCTAACAAAATAAAGAGACAGATAAGTTTTCTCATTGAAGTTATACAAGAATTTAATGTCAAGCTTTGGTTTTGTTCATAGGTCATAATCTTTACAAAAGTTATTAATCTCCTATGCCCTAAATTTTTTTTATGTATAGAAACAATTCATTGGTTTAGTACCAAAGAGTTTTTGATGACAACAAATCACTAGACAACTTTTCAACAAAAAGGAAAATCACAGTTACAGACTTTTTACAAAATGTTTATACAGTCATGCACCCCTTAACAATGTTTTGGACAATGATGGACCCCGTATACAATGGTGGTTCCATAGATTATAAAGAAGCTGAGAAATTCTATTGCCTAGTGACATCATAGCCATCGTAACTTGATACACAGAGACTGCAAAAATCACCAAAGCTGGGGATGAGATGGCTAACAACCTTACCCGAAGTGTGGATAAGGGTGACTTTGAGGAACACCTAGAGGTGGCTCCTCAGCAATTCATTAATGAGAAATTGTTGCAACTATTACAGAAACACAGAGCTGAAGGTAGAGGGAAAATGCAGAAGAAGAAGATGAACCCCTGGGGAAAGTCAGTGAAGGATTTGGCAGAAGCTTTTTCACACCTCAAAAAAACTCCTCAAAAAGTTTGAAAACAGACTCTGATCCGGAAAGGTATTCATGGTACCTTATCTATTTACAAACAAATGTATGATGATGAGGAAAAACAAACAAACAAAAAAAGCCATCATGGATGTATTTCTGAAAGGAGTGACACTTGCTCAAGAAGAGCCTCACGCAGGCTCTTCAGAAGGTCTTGCAGAAGAAGGCATGGCGGTCATGAGATGACAACACTATGAGTGGTACTGTCCCTGAAGGCCTGCCAGCGGGACAAGGTGTGGAAACGGAAAGGAGTGATATTGTATTGATGGTCTGACTCTGTGCAAGCAGGGGCTAATGTATGTGTTTGCGTCTTACTTTCTTACAAAAAAACATTTAAAAAGTAAATACAAATTTTAAAAACAGAAAAAAGCTTTTAGAATAAGAATAAAGAAATAAAATTATTTTGTACAGCAGTACACTATGCTTACATTTTAAGCTTATTACAAAAGAATTGAAGAGTTTAAGAAATAAAAAGTATATAAGGTAAAAACAAAGTTACAGTAAGAGAAGGTTAATTCAGTATTGGAGAAAGAAAAATACTTTTACCAATTTAATATAGACAGAACTGTACAGTGTTTCAACAGTAATGTACAGTGCTGTCCTAGGCCTTCACCATTACTCACCACTCACTCACTGACTCACCCAGAGCAACTTTTAGTCCTGCAAACTCTATGCATGGTAAATGCCCTGTACAGTTTTCCGTTTTTAACCTTTTATACGTATTTTTCCTATTTAGAATATGTTTAAATATATAAATATTTACCATAGTGTTATAATTGCCTACATTATTTAGTCCAGTGATATGCTGTGCAGCTTATAACCTAGGAGCAGTAGGCTATTCCATGTAGCCTAGGTGTGTAGCAGACTATGCCATCCAGGTTCATGTAAGTGCACTCTACAATGTTTGCAGGTGTTGAGATTTCCTAATGACACATTTCTCAGAGTGTATTTCCATTAAGTGATGCATGACTGTTCTGATTCAGCCTACTTTCCCATATCTTTTTTTTTTCTTTTTAAGTGAAAATGAATCCTGATTTACAATATCCTGAAGGTTGTTTATCAATTAGATAATGGCATTAGTTATCTACAGTTTCTGAAAAGTTCTGGGATAACTTTGCTGTTTTTTGTTTGCTTGTTTTTGCTTGTTTAGGCCTCTATGAACAATAACTTTTCAGTTTATGACCCCACATTTGATTATTGAAATACACAGAGAATCTTTTCTCAAACCAACAACCTTGGCAAACTCATACTATTTTTCAAAGAGTAATAGATACTTAGTTGGGATTGTCTTTTTTTGTATATGAGAATAATTAAATCTGTACATTTAGTAAGTACATTTCCTTAATTAGAAAAAGCAAGCGAAAGCACCTACTCCTCAGTTTAATTATAAATAATCAAGGGCTTTCTGGTGGAAATTACATATAACATTTCTAATTTAATATAAATCTCTGCTTGATGTTGAAAAATGTAATAAACTTTATGCTCCTCTATGGAAGATTTGGGAAGGTTGAAAATAAATTTTCTAATTTCCATTTGTATGTGTGGATGTGTGTATTTTCTGTCATGTTTAAATGTGGAACATCTTCTAAAAACTAAGTTAAAGTATTCCTTAACTAAAAGTAAAATCACTTTGAAACAGCATAGAGAGACCTGGAGTGTATTATGCTAAGTGAAATAAGCCAGTCAGAGAAAAATACCCTGTTTCCCCTAAAATAAGACAGTGTCTTATATTAATTTTTGCTCCCAAAGATGCGCTAGGTCTTATTTTCAGGGGATGTCTTATTTTTCCATGAAGAAGAATACGGTACACATTTATTGTTAAATGAAAATAAAGGAAATTTATTACCTGTATTTGGTACGGTAGTACGGTAGTTGTCAACACAAACCAGACAAACTGTGAATCCTATAGTATCAAGAATTTACTCATTTATTCAATGACAATCATGTCATCTTCTGGAACATCATCATAACAATCCCAATTCCTGAGTTTCCTGGTGAATTTCTTGTGACTCCATTTCTTTCAGAATCAGTGGACCAAATCTCTCATGTTTAGCCTACGGGGGCCTTATTTTTGGGGGGATGCCTTATATTTCACTCAGAAGTATAGGTCTTATTTTCGGAGAATGTTTTATTTTTGGGGAAACATGGTAAGTATCACAGGATTTCACTCATATGTGGAATCTTATGAACAAAATAAACTGACGAACAAAATAAATTCAGAGACATAGAAGCATGGAACAGACTGAGAATTTCAGAGGGAAGGTGGAGGTGCGGGGATGGATGGGGAGAGATTAACGGAGGAATTTGTATGCATATATGCATAGACCATGGTCACATACAATAGTGTGGTACAGACCTGGGAGAGGCAGATGAGGGGTAGAGAATGAGGGAAGGTGTGGGGGGGACATCTGTAATCCTATATAATAAAAGGGTAACATGCAAATCGACCGAACAGTAGAACTATGACACATACTGACCGCCAGGGTGAAGGTGCTTAATGCAGGAGCTGACCCCTGGTGGTCAGTGTGCTCCCACAAGCCTAAAGCTGTCAGTCAGACATCTCCCGATGGCTCGCAAACTGCTAAAAGGAGCAAGCCAGGCTGAGCGACACTGCCCCCCACCCCCACATGCAAGATTGTCATGTACCAGGCCTCTAGTACTTTCAATAACAAAGATGCATTAAAAAAAAAATATTCACTAGTAAAGAGGAGGCTGCCAACGGTAAAGAAGCCAGCAGGAGAGAGATCCTCTCCACCCCCCCAAACCACAAATTTCACAGCAGGGTCAGGCTGTATAAATAGCTGCCAAGACTGCAAGTTATTGATGCTCCATCAGTAAATACTCGAGGGAAGGAGGTAGAAATGGAGTGAGAAATGGAAAAAAAAAACACACGTACTTCTTAAGATGTGTTGTTCTTATGCCACGGCTTTAATATAAAAAAGATTGTTTTATGCTCTGGCCAGTGTAGCTCAGTTAGTTGGGCATCATCATGTGGACCAAAGAGTTGCTAGTTCAATTCTTGGTCAGGCCATATGCCCAGGTTACTGGCTAGATCCCCAGTGGGGGCATGCAAGAGGCAGCTGATTGGTGTTTTGCTCTACTCTCTCTCTCTCTCTTTCTCTCTCTCTCCCTCAATATTAAGAAAAAAAAGTATTTTTAAAGAGTATTTTAGATCAAAGTCAAGATTAATGAGATTTCTATATATTTATGGAAAATATTAAAATACAAATTACTTTTAAGAGAAGGAGGCATGTGACCTTATGGCAAAGATGAGTCAGAATTAGGATCCAGACATATCTCAATAGGCTGCAATACAAAAACTGAATCTAATAAAGTGTTTGGGGTTTTTTTGCCATCAAAATATTTTAACAATTTTACCACATCTTACTGCATCCACTTCTCCCACTGTAGGCCCAGCTTCAATCATCTCTTCTTGGGTTATTATAGTAACCCAATAACTGTTCTCCCATTCCTGCTTTTGTCACCAAACAACCTATTCTTATTGCAGTAGCCAGAATGACCTTATATTGCATTATTTAACACCACAGTTGCTTCCAACCTCACTTAGAGTAAAAGCCAAAATTCCTAAAATGATCTATAAAACCACATAATTTATTCCTGTCATCTCTCTGGCCTCTTCTCCTGTCACTCACTCTGAACAATCCTGCTGGCCTCCCCATTGTTCACCAAACATGCCAGAACAGTTGCTTTCTCTCAATTCAGAAATGCTTTTGCTCATAGACCTACCAGCTTACTCCCTCACCTCCCTCTGGTCTTATTAAAATGCCTGCCCTAATCACAGTACCTCAAACTGTAACCTCAACCCTATCTGCCTCTTCCTTTCTCCTTCCCCCATTTTATTTTTTCTCCCTAATAATTGATTCTATCCAACATACTATATGTTTTCTTTAAATCTTTGATGGTGGCACTAATTTCTGCCAATACACCTGGGATCTGATACTGTTTTAGATTTACTGCATGGGACAGAAGTAAATAAAGGTAGTTTCAGCTCATCCATTTCTACTATAATAGATAGCTCTTTCTCCGCAGACCAAGGAATCATTTATACGATTCTAAGCGATACTGTGTATGTCTATTTTGATTATAACTTTAGAAATGAGGAAATAACCACTGGTAGGGTCTGTGGAATCAGTGGTCTCAGTAGGAGATGGACTTGGCCCAGAAGATTCTGCTTAGATTTTCCCTACTCTCAGAGGCATTGCACTGTTTATGAAAGGATTAGTCTAAGCCCTCTGTGCATCACTGTCATGGTTGTTTATTATATATTCTACCATTAATGTATTGAAGCTGAGCTAAAGAATGAGAGCTAGACACACAGTCCCTTTAGGTGACAAGCAAGGTACTTACGTTGAGAGGCCCTAACCCCTGTGGCCTCCCTCTGATGGTGTGACTCTCACTCTTAATGTCGTCTAGTCACTGCTTGAGAACAGTGCAGTGGTTGGGCACATGAGCACTGTACTGGGTGTCTGAAGGCTCCAGGAGTTTCTTGTTCTGCATAATGCTTGCTATCTGCTTTCTACTCCTATTCAAGCTAAGTAAACTTGGTGCTAGGTCAGCCTTATTGTGTCCTGTGTTTTTGATTGACAATCTGAAACTAGAACTCACTCTAGTGGTCTTGGCTTTGTCAGAATACAGCAACAACAACAACAAAAACATATTAAAATATTAGAAACAGTCCAGCCTGTGTTGCTCAGTGGTTGAGCATCGACCACGATCTAGGCCAGTGGTTGGCAAATTCATTAGACAACAGAGCCAAATATCAACAGATTGAAATTTCTTTTGAGAGCCAAATTTTTTTCTAACACCATTTCTTCAAAATAGACTCTCCCAGGCCGTGGTATTTTGTGGAGAGCCACACTTAAGGGGTCAAAGAGCAGCATGTGGCTTGCGAGCCGAAGTTTGCCAACCACGGATCTAGGCAATCATGATTTGATCCCCAGTCAGGGCACATGCTCGGGTTGCAGGCTAAATCCCCAGTGAGAACATGCAGGAGGTAGCAGATCAATGTTTCTGTATCTCTATCCCTCTCCCTT